CCGAGTAGCTGGGACTACAGGCACCTGCCACCATGCCCAGCTAATTTTTTGTATTTTTTTTTTTTTTTTTTTTTTTTAGTACAGACAGGGTTTCACCGTGTTCTTGATCTCCTGACCTCATGATCCACCTGCCTCGGCCTCCCAAAGTGCTGGGATTACAGGCATGAGCCACCACGCCCTGCTGTCTCTGCCAGGTTTTGGTATCAGAATTAGTCTGCCTTCAAACAATAAGTGAGGGAGGAGTCCCTCCCTCTCAGCTTTTTGGAATTGTTTCAGTAGGTACTAGATCTTTACTTTAGACATGTGGTAGAATTTAGTTGTGAATACATCTGGTCCTGGGCTTTTCCTGGTAGGTAGGGAATTTTTTTTTTTTTTTTTACTGATTCAATTTTGGGACCAGGATTTCAATTTCTTACTGGTTCAATCTTGGGAGGTTGTATGTTTCTAGGAACTTTATCCATTTCTCGTAGGTTTCTTAGTTTGTGTGCACTGGTACTCATAATCATTTCTGAGGGGTTTTTTTCCCCCTTTTTATTTCTTTGGAGTCAGTGGTAAAGTGATTTCTGACATTTCTGATTGTGTGTACTTAGATCTCTCTTCTTTATTAGTCTAGCTAGTGGTCTACCAATCTTATTTATTTTTTCAAGGAAACAATTTACGATTTTGTTGATCTTTTGTATGGTTTCCCAAGTCTCAATTCAGTCCATCTCTGATTTTGGTTATTTCTTATCTTCTGCTAGCTTTGGGGTTGGTTTCCTCTTGCTTTTCTAATTCCTCTAGGTGTGATATTAGGTTGTCAATTTGAGATCTTTCTAACTTTTTGATGTGAGGATTCAACTTTCTGCTTAATACTGCTTTGGGTATGTTTCAGAGATTCTGATATGTTGTTTTTATTAGTTTCAAAGAATTTCTTGATACCTGCCTTAATTTCCTTGTTTACCCAGAAGTTATTCAGGAGCAGATTGTTTAATTTCCATATAATTGTATGATTTTTGTGCAATCTTCTAGTATTGATTCTATTTTTATTGCCCTGTGGTCTGGGAGTGTGATTGGTCTATTCAGTTTTTCTGAATTTGCTGAAAATCATTTTTATGGCCGATTATGTAGCCAATTTTAGAGTGTGTGCCATGTACAGATAAGAAGCATGAATATTCTGTTGTTTCGGGGTGGAGAGTTCTGGAGATGTTGTTAGGTCCATTTGGTTAAGTGTTGAGTTCAAGTCCCGAATATCATTCTTAGTTTTCCGCCTCAATAATCTGTCTAACACTATCAGCGGAGGGATCAAAATCTTCCCCTATTATTGTGTGGTTTTCTAAGTCTCTTTGTAGCTCTCTAAGACGCGTTTCATGAATCTAGGTATTCCTATGTTGGGTGCATACATATTTAGGATAGTTAATTCTTCTCGTTAAATTAAATCTTTTACCTTCTTTGTCATTTTTGACTGTTGTTGGTTTAAAGTCTATTTTCTCTGAAATTAGAATAGCAACCCCTGCCTTTTTTGTTTTACATTTGCTTGGTAGATTTTTCTCCATCCCTTGACTTTGAACCTATGGGTGTCATTGCATGCGAGATGGGTCTCTTGAAGACAGCATATAGTTGGGTTTGGTTTTTTAACTCGCTACTCTGTGTCTTTTAAGTGGGGTATTTTGCACCTTTATATTCAAGGTTAATTGATATGTGCAGGTTTGATACTGTTATTGTGATATTAGCTGGTTATCATGCAGACTTGATTGTGTAGTTGCTTTATGGTGTCAGTGGTCTATGTACTTAATGTGTTTTTTTGTGGTGGCTGGCAACAGTTTTTGCTTCCATAGTTAGCACTCCCTTAAGGACCTCTTGTAAGGCAGGTCTGGCGGTAATGAATTCCCTTGGCATTTGCTTGTCTGAAAAGGATCTTATTTCTCCTTTGCTTACAAAGCTTAGTTTGGCTGGATATGAAATTTATTGGTTGGAATGTCTTTTCCTTAAGCATGCTGTGAATATAGGCCCCCAGTGCCTTCTGGCTTGTAGGGTTTCTGCTGGAAGGACTGCTGTTAAGCTGATGTGGTTCCCTTTGTAGGTGACTTGCTCCTTCTCTCTAGCTGCCTTTAATATTTTTTATTTCACGTCGACCTTGAAAAATTTGATGACTATGTGTCTTGGGGATGGTTGTCCTATACAGTTTCTCACAGGGGTTCTCTGTATTTCCTGAATTTGAATGTCAGTCTCTCTACCATGGTTGGGGAAATTTTCATGGACAATACCCTCAAATATGTTTACCAAGTCTCTCTCTTTCAGGGACACCAATAAGTCATATATTTTGTCTCTTTACATAACCCTATATTGCTCAGAGGTTTTAAAATTTTTTTTATTTAATAAAATAGAGATGGGGGGGGGTCTCGCTATGTTGCCTAGGCTGGCCTTGAACTCCTGGGCTCAGGTGATCCTCCTGCCTTGGACTCCCAATGTGCTGGGATTACAGGCATGCGCCACCATGCCCAGCCTTCTTGGAGATTGTGTTTATCTTTTTTATTTTATTTTTTTATTTTTGTCTGACTGAGTTGATTCAGACAACTTGTCTTCAAGCTCTGAGATTCTTTTCTCCACTTGGTTTATTCTGCCGTAAATACTTGAAATTGCATCATGCCATTCTTATACAGAGTTTTCAGCTTTCTCAGCTCATTTTGATTCTTTTTTTAAATGGTTATTTCATCTTTCATCTCTTGTATCATTTTATTGGATTCCTTAAATTCAATTGATTGGGTTTTTTGTTTGGTGGTGGTAGTAGTGGTAGTGGTGGTTGTTTTTGGAGACAGAGTCTTGCTGTGTCACCCAGGCTGGAGTGCAGTGGTACAATCTCGGCTCACTGCAAACTCCGCCTCCCAAGTTCAGGTAATTCTCTGCCTCAGCCTCCCAAGTAGCTAGGATTACAGGCACCTGCCACCATGCCTGGCACGCACGTGCACATGTGTGTGTGTGTGTGCGTGTGTGTGTGTGTGTGTGTGTGTTTTAGTAGAGACAGGGTTTCACCATCTTGGCCAGGCTGGTCTTGTGACCTTGTGATCCACCCACCTCGGCCTCCCAAAGTGCTGGGATTACAGGCGTGAGCCACCGTGCCAGGCTTGATTGGGTTTTGACTTTCTCATGAATCTCAATGATCTTCATTCCTATCCAGATTCTGAATTCTGTGTCTTTGATTTCAGTCATTTCAGCCAAGTTAAGAACCACTGCCAAAGAACTAGTGTGGTCATTTGAAGGTGAGAAGACATTGTGGCTTTTTGAGTTGCCAAAGTTCTTGAGCTAGTTCTTTCTCATTTGTGTGGGCTGATGTTCCTTTGATCTTTGAAGTTGCTTTCCTTTGCATGGAGTTTTTTGATTTTTTATTCTTTGATGCCTTGAGGGTTTGACTGTGGTACACCATGGGTTCAGTCAACTGTCTTGTTTAAAATATTTCAGGAGGCCAAGGCTCAGTTCATCACTCCTGGTCTGCATGTTCTAACTCTGGGGGGCTAGTACTGGGTCCTAGCTTTGTTCTGTGGCCCTTCGAGGTTAGAAACTTGCTGCAATAAGGGGGGCTGAGGTGTTCCTGGCTCAGTGGCCACAACACTCTGCCGGTAGGGTGCTGGCCAAAGTGCTTTGTTGTGGCAGTGGCAGTGGGATCTGTGCTCACATGTGTTTGCCAGCAGCCACAGCAGCACAGTAGGTGCCTGCACATCAGCAGTGGCGGGGCACCAGTGGGGATGGGATGGCAGCATCCGTGCATGCACTGGCGCTGGTGGTGATGACATGGTGGGATATGCATGCGTCAGTAGGAACTGGGCACTAGTTGGGGTGGGGTGGTGGTGTCTGTACGCATGCTTGTGCCGATGGTGATGGGGCAGCAGCGTGTCCACACGTGTGCTAGCGGGGGAGGGGAGGGGAGATCTGCCCGCACTCATACTGTGAGCGTTGGCTGTGGGTGAGTCTGTGCTGGCAAAGTGGTGGGAGGAGGCTGCAGTGGGGAGAGGCTGTAAAGTGGTTGATTGCACAACAGTGGAGACTGGCCTGCTGGAACCAGAGTTAGGCATGGTGAGCTGGTGAAGGAGTTATTATGACGGCCCTTGGAAGCACCCTGGTTTGGCATCTGAGGCTGTGCTGCAAGCAGATGCGGCAAGGCTGGAGCCCCAGGAGAGGCTGGTAAACAGGCACACACTCAGATCAAACTGGTCCCATGTCATGGGCAAGACCTCTCTTCTCTGTCCAGGTCTGGCAGCCACCAAAGGCCAAAGCCACCTAGAGGAGCTTTTTTCCAGCTTCAGTTCAGGGTCTGCATCTTCCCTCTGTCTACTCTCAATGCCTTCCCTCTGAAGGTCTGCTAGGAGTAGGGCAGTCTTCCCTGTGGTCTGGTGTCTCAGTGGGAGGTGCTCTTCCTGGCTGCATCTAGTCAGCCATCATGGCTTCTCTCTAAATTTGCAGTTAATGTCTGGGGAAAAAAAGGCTGCTAATCCATGAGGCATAATAGTCCAAGTGTACTGCTAATTTCACCAGGTGTGAAAATAAATTTAAAAGCTGTTGGACCCCCAAAGAATACTTTTAAGCCTTGATAGAGATGTGACTGTGATCTGAGTTATGCATGGTCACAACTTCTGTTCTCATATTATAATAATAGGTTAACTCATTTTCTTATCTTTCTTGATCTGTTCAATGACTAGAGAGAATTAAATGATGGCAGGGACAAAAGTTTCCTGCCTTCTTAATTAATGAGGGTTGTTGTAGATTAATTCCCCCTTTATTGTCCTGATTTGCTTAGACAAGATGACAGAAAACCTATGATTATTGCAGCCTTTGCAAAAAAAAAAGTGTTAGATGTATCCTTACTCATAAGAAACACTGCATGTAAATAATCAAATTGCTGTAACTACGTGCCAACCCTACATGAATAATGCAATCCTGCTAAAAACTGCTCTGTCTCTGCTTATGTAAATGAAATCTTAACTTCCGTACTTCGGATGGCTGACTCTGTTCCTTTGGAGTTGGGGTTTCTGGGTGAACCATCCTCACATTCTGTGTGTGGATGAACTCTCTTTAAACTAGGCTCTGACTCTTCTAATTATTTTAGGTTGGCATTTGATAACCTGCAGATGGGACCTGAAGCAAGCCTTCTGCAATCTTCACTGCTTTGCTGACACTTGGCGCTTTGGTATAGCACAAGTGGCTTTCGCTTCTTTGACTTCATTGGAGCCGGCGAGGGCCTCTGGCCTGGCTTCTCTCAGATTTCGAATCTCTCTGGTTTTGGCTGAGATGCAGACTCTGTTGAAGCGTCCTGATTCCACACTCAACAAAAGTGAAACTGAAGCGCTACTTTTAAAAGTAGGAGTTTCATTTATTATTTCCCTAGAGATTCTGTGGCTTTCAGATTTGTAATTTCACATTCCTTTCAGGATAAGATTTTGTTTCATTTGCAAAAATTTTCAGCCTTTTATCTTGTTCAAATTTGGTGAAGGAGTGTTTCTCTTTGAAAAGAGGAAGCAAATCTTTGTGGCTTAAAATAAATTTGTGGTTTTATATTTTCTAGGTTCTGAAGCATGGTTCAGTTGACATAGCTAAACTCTTCTTGAGTGACCACATTTCCATTTCCACGGTCTTTGGTCACTTAACAAGAGAACTCAAATTATGGACAATCGTCCCTCCAAAATCAAGTCTTTCTCCTTAAGGAGAGATCCACCTTTAGAAACTCCAGCTGAACTCATGTATAAAACTTAGGGTACCGCTTCTTGTCATTATTTAGAAAATGGTTGCACATAACTTGTGAAAAACTAAAATTGCAATGGCCAAAGTGGGATGCTTCAGCTAATTTACCTGTGTGCTCAGTTAGAAAAAGCTGGTTCTAGGACAAAACAGAATATTTAGGAGAGTTATTTTCAATGGTATTTAAAGCATTCAAAAGAGATTTATTCTCCTCTTTACAAAAGGAGAATAAAAAGTTATCTAGAACAATTTCCAAATGTTAAAAGACAGCTGAAATTTCTCCTCCTCCTCCCTCAGCTCCTCCTTCTATTTATCCTTTATTACCTGGTCTACTTTACCTAGAACTACCTCCTCTTTCTCCTCCCGCTGCTTCTACTGCTCTGGCTCCATCTCTGGAACAGCCAGTGTCTGGTAGAGATTAACCTGCCCTAGTTTATCAGTCATGGTCAAAGGCAGAACTTAAAGGTATAATTAAGGAATTTCCTGATCCTCACTAGGACCCTTGGAGTCCTAGTTTTCTGGTTTTGCCAGAAAATCGCAATTAAATATTTGAGCTTATGACCCTGGCTCTATTTTAAGATGAATAAAAGTTATTTTAAATGGAGAACACAAGATCTTATTAACAGACTGGAATCACCTTATCTGTAAATCCCACCTTACTACAAGGTCCCATTCCTTGAAGTAAACAAACAATTCAATCTGTAGGTGAAACAAATACTCCAAGAGACTTAGAATTATTTAATACCTACATTTCTTTCTCCTCAAAAGAGGAAAATGTATTTAGAATTAGATGATAAAACTGAGTTACTAGACATACTTTTGTCAAAATCTAATCCAATTGCAATCCGTATTGACATAGAAGACACTAAATTATTGAGTAGTAAAAAATTATACAATCTGCTAAAGGTAGTGCCTAATCAATCATGGTTAAAGTCTTCCAGTGATTTTGGAAAATTTATCTCGCCTACCCCAATCAAAGTTCAATAGATTCATCAAAACCCCTTCCAAAACTTAAACAATAGCCTCTAAGAACTGAAGCCCCAAAGGGTATAAAGCCTATAGTTTCAGATTATTTATTTATTTATTTATTTATTTAATTTTTTTGAAGCGGAGTCTCACTCTGTTGCCCAGGCTGGAGTGCAGTAGCACAATCTCAGCTCACTGCAAGCTCCGCCTCCTGGGTTCACGCCATTCTCCTGCCTCAGCCTCCCGAGTAGCTGGGACTACAGGCTCCCGCCACCATGCCCGGCTAATTTTTTGTACTTTTAGTAGAGACGGGGTTTCACCATGTTAGCCAGGATGATCTCCATTGATCTCCATCTCCTGACCTCGTGATCCGCCCGCCTGGGCCTCCCAAAGTACTGGGATTACAGGCGTGAGCCACCGCGCCCGGCCTCAGATTATTTAAAAATAGGACTTAATTATTCCCTATAACAGCCAATGTAACACTCCAGTCCTTCCTGAAGGAAAGCAAATGGTAGAGGGTGGAGGTTTGTACAGAATCTGAGAGCAATTAAAAACATAGTCACTCTTCGACACCCAGGAGGGCCAAACTTCCATCTGTTGTTGACTGACATCCCAACTGAAGCAGAGTTCTTTTCTTTTTACTTTGAGACAGGGTCTTACTCTGTCGCCCAGGCTGGAGTGCAATGTGATTACAGCTCACTGCAGCCTCAATCTCCTGGGATCAAGCAATTCTCCCACCTCAGCCTCCTGTATAGCTGGAACTACAGGTGCGCACAACACTTGGCTACCTTTTGTATATTTTGTGGAGATGGGGTTTTCCCCCTTGTTACCCAGGCTGGTCTGGAACTCCCGGGCTCAAGCCATCCACCTGCCTCGGCTTCCCAAATTGCTGGGACTATAGGCATGAGCCACTGCACCCGGCTGAAGCTGAGTTCTTTACCGTAATAAACGTATGTAGTACATTCTTTAGGATTCCCACAGATAAAAAAGAATCCATTTCTCTTCACCTTCACTTGGGAAGGCAGACAATACATGTGAACAGTCATGCCTCAGGGATGAACTGAGAGCCCAGCTTACTTTTCACAAATATTAAAAGCAGATCTCCCAGATATTGACTTCTTGAAAATTCCTTTTAATAAAATACACAGGCAATTTACTCCTCTGCTCAGAGGAAAAGCAAGTATTTCTTAAAAATGGGATTCACTTGTTACAACAATTAGCCTTAAAGGGACACAAAGCTTCTAAGGAAAAACACCAATCCTGTCAAAAACAAGTGAAGTGCTTAGGCCACCTAATATTTAGGGAAGAACTTTCTATTAGTCCATACAGACTGAAAGGAATTTTAGCTCTTCTGCCACGAAGAACCAAGAAACAGCTGCGAGAGTTTTGGGGGCTGGCAAGACATTTAAAAACTTGGATCCCAAACTTTTCTTTAAAAGCCTACCCCTTGGCCGGGCGCAGTGGCTCAGACATGAGGCCTGTAATCCTAGCACTTTGGGAGGCCGAGGCAGGTGGATCACCTGAGGTCGGGAGTTCGAGACCAGCCTGGCCAACATGGTGAAACCCTGTCTCTACTAAAGATAAAAAAATTAGCCGGGAGTGGTGGCGGGTGCCTGTAATCCCAGCTACTCAGGAGGCTGGGGCAGGAGAATCGCTTGAACCTAGGAGGCAGAGGTTGCAGTGAGCCGAGGTTGCACCAGTGCACTCAGCCTGGACAAAAAGAGTAAGACTCCATCTAAATAAATAAATAGAGAAAAGCCTGGCCTTTACATGCTTCTTTTAAACAGGACATTCCAGACCCTCTTGATTGGACAGAAGAAAATCAAGTAATGTCAAATTAATGATCAAAAATGACTTTGCTAATGCCCAAGCTTTGGTGCATCCAGATTATAACCTTCTGTTTTCAGTATTTGTACGTGAAAGTGATGGAAACATTTTAAGGATCCTAACTAAAAAACATGGAGCCCAAAAGAGACCTGTGGGGTATTATAGCCAACAGTTAGACTCTGTAATAAGAGGACTTCCATCTTGCATGAGAGCTGTAACAGCCCCTGCTTTGTTAGTTGAAGCAACTGACGAAATTCTCATGGTGACAGCCCTTAGTGGTTTTGTTCCTCATTCTGTGAAAGCATTTGCTAAATTCGCGTCATACTCAACATTATTCAGTTAGTAGACTAGTTTCATATGAAGTTTTACTTCTTTCAGCTTCTCATATCAACATCTCTAGATGTAATAACCTAAATCCTGCAACTCTTCTGTCTCCATTTCCAGAGAAAACACTGCACTATTGCATAACCCTAAGTGATGACTGATCAACTTCTTTCTCCCACGACTGACCTCTGAGAGACCCCCCTTACTACTGCTGATGGTGTTTGGTTTACAGATAGATCTTACCTAAAGGATAAATCTGGGACTTACTGCTCAGGTTATACAATAGTATCTTTAACTGAGAAAGAAAGAAAGAAAGGGAAGGGAAGAAGGGAAGAAAGAAAAGGAAGGAAGGGAGGGGGAGGGGAGGGGGGAGGGGAGAGAGGGGGAGGGGAAGGGAGGAGGAGGGAGGGGAGGGGAGGGGGAGGAAGGAGGAGTGGGGAGGAGGGGAGGGGGAGGGAGGAGGAGGGGGGAGGAGGGAAGGGGAGGGTGAGGGAGGAGAGGAAGAAGGGGAAGAAGAGGAGGAGGAGGAAGAGGAGGAAGAGGGGAGGGAGTTTTAACCTTCTAGGCACCACCTGAGCTCAACAAGCAGAATTAATTACATTAGTCAGGACTTGTCAATTGGCAAGAAGAATAACTGCTAATATTCATATAGAGAGTAGATATGCTTTAGAGTAGCTCATGATTTTGAAGCACTATGGAAACACAGGATTTTTAACTTCTTCTGCTCAGTCCTTAAAAAGTGGGCACCTCATTTCATAATTGTTGAAAGCTATATTATTACCATAGTCACTGGTTATAATTAAAATTCCAGGCCATTTCAAATCAGATATCCCAGAAAGCAAAGAAAATTAGCTAGCTGATAAGGTAGCAAAAAGTGTGGCACTAAACAAAAGCATTCTATATTAACTCTTAAAGAAACACCTGAATTTGATATAAAATTAGCTCAAAATCAGAATACAAAGTCACACTTTGTGCTTGAATAAACTCCCTTTAAATTAGATTCTGATTCTTTTGATTATTTTGGGTTGATGCAGGTGAAGGCAAATAGATGTTGTGATTCAGGGCAGAGGAATTTACTGGAGAAAGTGGAAACATGAGTCAACGGTCAGGTAATTGGTGTCAGGGAGTATTGAAATGAGGATGGTTTTAGGGTTAGAAACTAAAGGGAATCCAGGCTTCATTAGTTTATTTATGGCTTGCAGGTATTAGACTAATTAATATTCTTCCCATTAAGCTTTTGAATAGGCTTTATTTATTTATTTATTTATCTATTTGAGATGGAGTTTCGCTCTGTCACCCACACTGGAATGCAGTAGCGTGATCTTGGCTCACGCAACCTCCACCTCCTGGGTTCAAGAGATTCTCCTGCCTCAGCCTCCCGAGTAGCTGGGATTACAGGCGTGCACCACCATGCCCTGCTAATTTTTGTATTTTTAGTAGAGATGGGGTTTCACCATGTTGGCCAGGCTGGTCTCGATCTCTTGACCTCATGATCTGCCCACCTT